ATATCTACGTTTACATATTCATGGTTCATGAGGTTGAAGGTCATGAATTTTCGCAGTTTCGAAGCTGGTGAGGAATCAACTATCATCATTCATAGCCAACTTCAACAATTTCAAATCACTATTTCACTCCATTTTTCATTCACTGTAGAAGAAAATGAAATTGCACTGAACGCAAAAAAAAAATGTTAATAGAGGGTGAAAATTATATAGATGTGTACATACACATTTACATACATACATGTTTACGTGTGTGAGGAGAGGGGATTACTTTTCTTCGTATAGAATATATTTTATTTAATTAGTATATAATAATAAAATAGTACCTGCCTTTACTATAAGAGAGGAGATTGCCCAAGTTATTGTTTATGTTTGGCACAATTTCACACGTAACCAGTTTCTTCCTTTAGTATGTAGACTAGAGATATTTTTTTCTTATTCTTATCTAATATGAAAATTATTTAAGTTGAAAACGCCTAACTTTGTATGAACTTTAAAAATTCTTTAAAATATATGTGTTGGGGACATGTAGATTTATATTAACTTTAAAGATGAATAAATTTTGAATTGAAGGCGCCGTTTAGTATTTAGTGCCATGCCTTGATTTTTTATAAATTGATAGATGACCGTGGTAGATAGAAGTCTTGTCTAAGTTAAATAGTTATAATGGAAGTGTATTTATAGGGAAATTTATTCTGTAGGTTGTTTTGAATTAGAATTTCGAATGTTCCAAGAGAGAAGCTAGAGTACCATACTTTTTCATTGAAAAAGATACTTTGTTAGAGCTTATTAAGGCAGAAATTCATAGATGGAAATCTTTTATTACTTGCTGCCCGAATTCTTTTGTGCATTTCCAGTCGTCCACTTATGAATTTATTAAGTTTATGATTGTTGATAAATTACTTACATTATAACTTTAGAAATAGATTGCATATGTAGGTTGGTTGGGTGGAAGCAAAACCACTAAATTTATAGATGAAAAATATTTTCTTTTTAGAAGTCTTTATTTTCTTACTCTTCGGTAGTAGTATAGCAAAAACTTTTACAATATTACAATAGTATTTATGTTTTTTTTTTTAAAAAACTATTAATTTTACAAGAATCATATAAAAATGTTAATCTTTTATTCCTGCTTTTACACCATATAAGTCTTATTAAAATTTTATTTCATCAATAGTTCAGTCAACAATGTTTATATTTATTGCTATTGCTTTGAAGTAAACAATTTTTTTATTAAACTTCAGCTTTATGCATGTTTTTAATGTTGTGAGAGTTTGGTTCACTTGTTTCTATCGAATATTTTTCCTATTGTGGAAACTTAGTAGTATTATTAATTTTTTAATTATTTCATTCACTAAAATGAAAATTCTTTGCTTTCGTTAAAGTAGAGGTGAAGATCTTTTCCCCATGGATTCTTCGAACATTGATAGTACTTCTCAAAATGCAACTGAATCGTATACTGCTTTTATTCGCTAACAACAAAACCAAAGACAGGCGAATAGGAGGAATCGAATTCAAAGTCCACGCGTTGATCGTCGTAAAAGAATAAATAATTTCAAGTTGCATCCTAATTTTCAAGCTTCTACTTCAAATCAAGCACGTACTAATATTGTTCATTCTAAAGTACAAGAGATTTCTAACATATTAAACATACCTACTAATGCATATGTATTACCGACATGGAACTATTGTGAACATTGTGGTGAGCGAAAATTTTATAGAGAAACTAAAGGGTTCTGTTGCTCTGATGGAAAAGTTAAACTTTATATGCCTGATACGCCAACTGAATTGTATAATTTATTTACTTCTAAAGAACCTGAATGCATGGAGTTTAAGAAAATTTCACGTGGATATAATAACCATTTTGCATTCACTTCATTTGGTGTAAAGTGCGATACAGACCTTTTTAAAGCATATAAAGGTATTTACACATTCAGAATTCAGGGACAAGTATATCATTATGTAAATCAAATTCTGCCGAAAAATAATTAGCCTTCTTATATGCAATTATATTTTTATGATACGAATAACGAAGTTGAAAATCGTATGAAAATTTCAGAAAATTTTGTTGAATCTAATTTGATCATTTTGATTGAAATTTTGAAAGTAAATCCGTATAGTAGATTCTTTAGGTCTTTAAGTAATATGACCAATTTGCACGACCATCGAATACAAATAAGATGCGATCCTGGACTTGATTAAAGAGTCTTCAATACTCCTTCAGCATCTCAAGTAGCCGCTGTATGGGTTGAGGATGATGACAATGCAAATATTCGTGTTCGTGATATTACTATATATGGTCATTCTGGTGATTCACATAAGGTTCACTATTATTATGGTTGTTATGATCCTTTGCAATACCCTTTACTTTTCCCATTTGGAGAACCTGGTTGGCATGAAGGTATTCAGAGATACAAAAAAACATATTTTGAAACTCAGAATTTACCCGATTGCGTAGCTTTTCCTAGCACAGTAAATTTTACAACTGAAATCATTGCAAAAGAGGCTCAAGGTTTGCTATTAAACTTTTTTATATGTTTACTAATTCATATAAATTAAATGTTCCAAATGGGTGTAAGATGCATTTTTTTTATCCTTATGCAGTATTCAATGGAATGAGGAAACGATCACAGGTTTCTTGCCGCGAATACTATTCTTACAAGTTACAAATTAGGCCTTCTGGTAAGTCTGAGTTGCTTCATACTGGTAGACTTTTTCAACAATATGTTGTAGATATGTATGTTAAAATTGAAACTACCAGATTAGACTATTTTCGTAGCAATCAGAAACAAATTTGTGCTGAACTTTATCAAGGTATTGTGGATAGTGTTCAAAATGGGGAAACAAGAGGGTCAAAAATTGGAAAGAAGATTGTTCTACCACAAACTTTCACATGTGGGCATAGAGATATGCTTAAAAGATATTTAGATGCAATGTCTATCGTCCAACGTTATGAAAAACCAGATATATTTCTAACTATAACATGTAATCCAAATTGGCCAGAAATTATGCAAGAACTCAAACACAATGACGAAATTCAAAATCGGCCAGATTTAATTGCACGTATATTTAGAGCAAAATTGGAAGAGTTAAAGAACGATTCATACAAAGAAAATATTTTTGGTTCAGTTGTTGCTCATAGATACATGATTGAATTTCAAAAAAGAGGGCTCCCTCATGCCCATTTATTGTTGATTTTCAATTCTGCCCATAAAATTTGTTGTGCTGAACAAGTTGATATGATAGTGTCATGTGAAATTCCCGATAAGAATAAATACTTGCATCTTCATTCTGTAATTGTAAAACACAATATGCATGGCCCTTGTGGAAACCTTAATCCAAAAAACGTATGTATGTTGTCAAGTAGTGGTTGTAAAAATAAATATCCTAAAGATTATTGTAACAGTACTATATTTGGTGATAATTCATATCCCTTGTATAGACGTCGTGGTAATGATATTTCTATTAAAGTAAGAGGCCAAATGTTAGATAATCGGTGGGTTGTACCATATAATCCTTATTTAAGTACAAAATTTGACTGTCATATTAACGTTGAAGTATGTTCTTCTATTAAAGTAGTAAAATATTTGTACAAATATGTGTATAAAGGACATGATCGTATTAATTGTTTTGTAGGCAGAAATGAAACAGATAAGGAAATTGATGAAATTTTTGCTTATCAATCAGCTAGATGGATATCTCCACCTGAAACTATGTGGAAAATTTTTTCTTTTAATTTGTCAGAAATTTATCCTACTGTTTACGCTTTACAACTTCATATTAAAGATCATCAGCACGTAACTTATAATAGTAAAGATGATTTATCTGTTATTATTGGAAATGAGTATACAAGAAGAACAATGCTAACTGAATTTTTTCAGATGAATGAAGTAAATGAATTTGCTCGAACGCTATTGTATCGAGATTTTCCAACACATTTTGTGTGGAATGCAACTGGAAAAACTTGGACTCCCAGAAAACAACACATTGTTCTAGGGCGAATCGTGACAGTTAATCCATCCGAAGGAGAACAATATTTCCTTCGTGTTCTTTTGAATCATATTAAAGGTCCAACATCATATGACAGTTTTAAAACTTTAAATGGAGTAACAGTCAATACATATCGAGAAGCAGTACTTTTACATGGTTTGTTAAAAGGAGACAATCATTGTGAAGAATGTCTATCTGAAGCCATTATTTACAAAATGCCCAGTTCTTTAAAACGTCTTTTTGCTAAACTTCTTACACTTTGCAACCCTAATCATCCAAAGTTATTGTGGGATAGATATAAAGCCTATATGATTGATGATTATGTACATCGAAACATATGTGTTAAAGATGCTGAAATACAAGCTTTGGAAGACATCAATTCTATATTAGAATCGTCAGGAAAAAATGTAAATGATTATGGAATAGTTTCATTCTTTGTAAATATAGATGAGACTCAAAGATTGGCAAGAATGATTGCAGAGGAAACAATGAATTTTAATATTCAACGAGGCTTTAATTGTGTAGAGAAATTCAATAAAGAACAACGATTTGCATATGATAAAGTTATGGAAAAAGTAAAAAATGACTCAAGTGGTACTTTCTTCATTGATGGTCCAGGGGGAACGGGGAAGACTTTTTTATACAAAGCACTTCTAACAGCTGTAAGAGGTCAACATTTCATTGCTTTGACAACAGCGTCCTTTGGAGTAGCTGCGTCTCTGTTACCTGGAGGTCGCACAGCTCATTTAAGATTTAAAATTCCTTTAGAAACAATTGATGAAGTGAATTGTTCTGTTAGCAAGCAATCAGCTTTAGGAATAATGTTGAAAATGTCTAGGTTAATAATTTGGGATGAAGCGCCTATGGTAAATCGTTGCGCTATTGAAGCTGTAGACAGAATGTTTAGAGATATTACTGATTGTAACTTGCCTTTCGGTGGGAAAGTGATAGTTTTTTGAGGAGATTTTCGACAAGTTCTTCCAGTGGTATCGAGAGGGAAAAAAGATGATGTAATGAAAGCTAGCTTGGTCTTTTCAGACCTATGGCCTTCCTATTTACGTTTACCATTGGTTGAGAATATGAGGGCAAAATCAGATCCTATGTTCTGCACTTACTTACTCAGAATTGGAAATGGAACAGAAGAAGAACGTACTTGTAAGTGCATTATGCTTTCGAATAGTATAATTCTACCATTTGAAGATGAAAACACATCTTTAAAAATTTTGATACATCATGTTTTTCCAAATATACAGGCATATGTTGACAATTTACATAATATGATAAATAGAGTTATTCTTACACCTACGAATGAATGTGTTGATTATATTAACAAGATTTTACTCGAACAAATTCCCGGTGATTTTTCCACATACTATAGTTTTAATGAAGCAACTGACAAATCGGAACAAAGCTTGCAAGAAGATTTCTTGAATACTTTGACACCAAATGGTATTCCACCGCATGAATTGAAACTTAAGGTAAATTGTCCTGTAATGTTATTACGGAATATTAATCCTTCCGAAGGATTATGCAATGGAACACGCCTTACTTGTCGAAAATTTGAGAAAAACGTAATTCTTGTTGAAATTACAATTGGTGAGTATTGTGGGAAATACGCTTTCTTACCAAGGATCCCTTTTATACCTCTTCAAATTGATCGAAACTCAATTCAATTTAAGAGAACTCAATTTTCAATTAGACCGTGTTTTGCAATGACAATAAATAAAGCACAAGGTCAAACACTTAATTTTGCTCAATTCAATTTAAGAGAACTCAATTTCCAATTAGACCGTGTTTTGCAATGACAATAAATAAAGCACAAGGTCAAACACTTAATTTTGTCGGTGTATATCTTCCAGAACCAGTTTTCTGCCATGGTCAGCTATATGTAGCATTATCAAGAGCAACAACGAGCACATCTCTAAAAGTTTTATTGAAACCATCAAACATGGACAACTCAAATAATACATGTACTAAAAATGTTGTGTACAAGGAAATTCTTTCATTTATACATTCATATACCTAAAATGTTTGAATAGGTATATTTTTTTCTTCGAGAAATTTTTATAATATGTTCTCGTACAATAGTTTCCTCAATTTTAAATACATGAAAAATTATATCGTTACTATTTTTTTTATTCTTTGCATTTGCTATAAAAAAATTTCACAGGTTTCATTATTGGGAATGAAAAGTTCTTTTTAATTCTTTGTTACATTTGTACAATGGAATCACTAATGACAGCTTCAATTACAACCTGCGTTTGCAAAAGGTATGATTCAAATTTTTTAGTGTTAGTTTAATAGTTTGCCAGATTGATAACTAATTTACTTTAGTAAAGTTTCAAAATAAAAAGTAATTTCTCTATTTTTAGAATATATTTACCTTAAGAGTTTCACATTGTCACATAATTATTCTTCCATAAGTTAAAATGTGCTCTTATGCCAATTATTACAATGTTCAACTTTGTCAAAAAAAAAAAATTAGTATAATTATGGATTTTATGGAAACTCAATTTCAGATTCCCTTATTATCAACTTCAAGTTGTTTCCCCTCCTATATTTTATAGTCTTTCACATTTAAAATATATGTAATTAATACTATTTCTACTACCTCTTAAAAGAGGGGGTTTATATTACTGTTCATTTATATCACAGTCGTTTACACCCACTGTTCCACAACCGTTTTTTCTACAGTTCACATTTTTTTGAATAAATGAAACAGAATCTCCTTTCTTAACCCTAAGCAAAACTCTAGCTTGCTTTCTCAAAACTCTTGCCATTGTTCTCAAACTTTCAGATTTTGTAACCCAACGACTAAAGGAGAGATCCATTTGAAGTACACTTGAAATACACTGTCTATATTCTTGGCAATGGAAGAAGGAGGCTTTTTCTATTATTCAACTTTTGTTTACGGTAAGGGCCTAACTCTTCTTCTTCTTCTTTTTTTCTTTTCGAGTTAGCGGAGGAAGGTGATAATGAAGAGTATAGGACGACAATGGTCACTATAGTAAATGGCAGAAGAATCGAAGGCTGTCAAACTTATTTGATAAAGAAGCACATATTAATAACGAAAAAGAAGAGGAAGAACGTTGTAGCCAATAATTTTCTTTTTTAGTTTAGTTTTCGGAAACCTTTTGAGTTGTTGATGAGGATTTAATTCAATTATGTTGATTTGTTATGGTGTTCTAAATCTTGATTGATTCAACTGGATTTCTAATCCTTTTGATTTTCTTTTAATAATCTAATTGATGTCAATTAGTTTGTGAGATAGATTTGTTAAAAATTAGTTTCTCTATGAATATTATAAGTTCCCTAAATTTAAGTCTTAAATATAATTTGTCTGCCCTTTGTGCATCATACGTTCTGATTCTTGGACAATTTTATGCTACTGTAATTCTATCAATAGGGAGACTAATGCTTGATTTTCCTTTTGAAGCTCATGGTTTATTGAAATCATTTTGCTGCTTCTGCTTCTTGTTGGTTCCACTTGTACACTAATGGAATTGCACTTTAATTGCTTACAAATGATGTGTAAAATACGATTTATGACTTTGTCATCAGCTATTTATAATTTGATTTTTTGCTTTTATAATGAATTAGTCTAATACACTACTTTATGCAAGCTACTTAAAGCATTATCTTAATTTCTCTAGGTGTGGTTGCAGGATTAAATGCTCAACATGGTGTTAATTTAAGCACACCTACGTCTTTTAGCAATCCTGTTGCTGGAGGTAATAATAGTATGGACATGGGGGTAGTTGTTCGCTCTAGCAGACCTTTCGCAATGGTTGATGAAATTACAAAAGGATCTTCAGCAGCAGCAGATGGCTTACAGCTTGGAAATCAAATTGTAAAATTTGGGAATATGAAAATAGGTGAGAACTTGGTACAGAAGCTTACTACTGAAGCTCAGATAAATCAGAGCCATGCAATGCTTGTGGTAGTTATAGGGCAAGGTGTTTTCATAAATTTGACCATAAAACCCAACTCTTGGCAATGTCATGACCTATTTGGTACGTTACATTCTAATCATATTTTATATTTTTCCCTTTTGTTTAAACTATATTTCAATTGGTTAATAAATCTCATTTATGCAAGTGAATCATGAAATGTTCAATTTCAACAAATCATCTTGAACTAAAAATATGCTAATGTTATATATTTGAATTCTATTGATTTTATACAATAAGATCAATAATACATCAGTTTCTTTTAATTTCGATAGTCCAATAATATTCCTTGTTCTAATTAAGTTTTACATAGAGATGGTTTGATGCTCTTTTAGAATTTAATGAACATTTTATGCTTTCCCTTTACTTCGTGCAACGTTAGGAAATATTTGAGTGAATTTAACATTATTCTTCTTGATAGAATATACAAAACTGGTGTGTGTACATTAACGCTTTCCTATTTAATCATTTAACTTTGTTCGGTGAACAAAAAATTTTGTGAGCAACTATTTTTATTATATATACATTACATATTTCTTTATCAATGCATGAATTGACTTTATGGGAAACTTAATAAAAATTTTTTTACTAATTTTATTATTAATCTAAATTCTAACCAACAATGTTATTTTTTCAGAGTAGGATTACAGTCATCCTATATCTAAAGACGATTAATCTTATATGGTCGAAAATATATTCACTTTCAATGCTGATAAATATGCAAAGATGGAATTTAGATTGAATTATATGATGATATGTTTCCTTGCATTATGCTATATTGTTATGTTTCTTAGTATATGATATTTTCAATTTTTATTAATCGAATGATGAACATATGAAAAGATAAATTTTCAAGATGCTTATTCTTTACATTCCTACTCTTTTAAAAAATGGAATCTTACGTCTACTGTTCATCTAGGAAGCATTTTAAGTGTTTTCCATCGTATCTCCAAATCCATCTGGCAAAGTAATTCTTATACTAAGGGTCTAATAATTTTTTTTATACGATATATATTCTTCTCTAGCCAAAGACAATCTGCTACCGAAAACTTTAATTCATAATTCCATCTTAAAAAAAAAAAAAAACATTAGCTAGCCCTAATTTCTCTTCTTCTTTTGAATTGTTGAAATTAATTCAAAATAATTTATAGGAATTGAAACATTTGTAAGTATAATTCGCGTACGGCATTTCTCTTTGAAATATTATGTAATTTCAATTTATTATTTGTAGAATATTAGACACAGTATTAGTGAAATTTAGTGATCGCTGGTTCAGTATGTTTGAAGATCAATTTGGCTATTTTTCGCCTTGCCTTGTCACTATTATATCTAATTCGGCATTGACATTTTTTTTACCTTTCTAGGTTTCTTCAGGTTAGAAATGACTTATATTCTTTGACAAATAAGAAGTTGATTATTGCAATAGATATTAAACCATACATATAAATTTTCTAAATATCTTCTAACTCTTTTCTATAATAGTTTGGACTACTTTACGTTTCATATAATCTTCATGTCATGCTTGATGTTGTCGCAAACAAGGGATAAGATCTGCTATCTTCATTCGTTCATGTCTTCAGTTAATATAACTTTAGATAAGAAATTCAGTCAATTATATCAAATATGTACTTTTTGACTTTTTGCATCATTTTGTCTATGTTATTTTAACTGTGGTCCTTCCTAAATGAATGCATTATGGCAATTAATGCATGAACATTGGACGTCCTATATCTAATCTATTTATCGTCTTTTTTGTGGTAAGGTAAACCGACAATGAGAAGTTAGCTGATGATGAAGAGGAAACTAAGGGGAAGTACATCCATGGTGATGTATTCAAGTACCTGAAATACAAATTTTTGTTTATAATAAATGATGGTTCAACCTTAGTATCCTTTATTATATTTTCCAATGTCCTGGATTCGAAGTTTTCTATTTACTCTTTCACTTAATTAAAAACTAATGTTTTTCATACAATTCATACATTTTTCGACCATAAATTGAATTTTCTTCTTACTAATGTAATAAGTGAACACAATAGTTTTTCAAAATACATAAATCCAACAGAAAATAAAGAAAAAAAGACAAACAACAACGATAGTAACATTTAACCTGATAACACCTATGATAATATAAGTTAAGCTCCCCACAAATTCGTGAATAGATAAAATTACTTAATAAATAAAGTTACTTACTAAATGTATTATGCATGAAGCACTCGTATTTGAAACATATGGATTAACAATCCTTCTTCCAATTTGTAAATCTAACATAATATATTAAATTTTAGCAAATTATAAAGTAATATTTTTCAAAATCAACACGTGAACCAGTAAAAAACTAACACAGAAACCTACCAACTTTTTATAAAAGCCTTTTCAATTCTAAGTATCTATCTACATGAAATAGATATTTTACAAATGACAAAAAATAGTACGTTACTTTCCACGCACAACTTTTAAACGTATAAACCATCATCAATTACATATATATATACATGTGAAATACATATTATACAAATGAAAAAAAATAGTGCCAACTTTCCACGCAAAACTTTTTCATATAAACCATCATTAACTTTTTCTTTCACTTTAATTCTCATCCATACAAAAAGATATTTTACAGACCAAGTGTATGATTGGATATTAAAACAAAGATTCTTCTACTCATGTTCTATCTATTAATATATGCTTTCGACTAAATAATTTTATGTTACTTTTACTTTTCCCTTCAGCATCAAAATTCTACAACAGTATCGTAAACATCATACTCTTCAACTACAACTGCAAAAGTTTAAAAACTCCGTTTTCGTTTTTGTTTTCTTATTGGTAAGTTTTACATGTTACTATCGTTTTACTATAATTATCTTTTATTAATCCAAAAGAAGAACATTAGATTATTTCATAAAAAACTTTTAGAATTAAAAATTTGATATCATTTTTTTACGATAAATTTAACGTAATATTAACAACTGTAACTATTTGTGTAATAATTTCTTCTTCACATAATCATAGGATATCAAGAGTGGCCGCATTTTATAAACTTATCCCACAGATTTCCACTTTTGAGAAGAATTGGACTGCAAAAATCATAGTTGCAGAAAAACAAGCACCTAAAACTGCTCGAAATAACATTAGCCGCTACCAAAACCTTCTCTTAATGGATTTAGAGGTAAATATATATTTACGAATCGTCTTATTTCTATTATAAATATTTGTTTTCGTAATATATTTATATAGAACTCATTTTTACATTTGAACAGGGTAACAAAGTTACTGTCATAATCTATGATACAAATATTACGGCCCTTGCAGATGAGCTAACACTAGGGAAAACATACATGTTATCAAATGCAACTGTAAAAGACAACAGAAATGAGTTCATAGGCTCGCTTGAAGACAAAATTTGGACCATAACAGCAAAGACAAAGATAGAAGAACTTAAGGAGGATAATTTAAACCTTCTCTTCTCGAGATATGAACTCACAGCATTCAACAAACTTGAACGATACATGGATAGTAATGAAGAGATAAGTATGATCACAAACACATTAACTTATAGCCAATATAAATTTAGTTAAAAATTTTTAATCGTTCTATTTATATTCATTTTATCATATACAAAATATGATATCAACACAACTTCTTTTTTGCAGGTGTTATAGGCGTCGTTATAGAAGTTCGTCAAAAAAGAATTATTCAAACTCAATTTGGCACACAAGCCTGTCTTCAAGATGTTGTGCTGATAGATAAGTCTTTCCAGACGATCATATTAACGATGTGGGACACTTTTGTTGAAAATGAGTGCGTTACTATAATAGATAACATTGGAAGCAAACCAATCATCTGGGTGACTAATTTAAAAGTTTCTTCGTACAATGGTAAACAG